TACGGTTCCTAGTGTTTAAAACTCTTTTTTGGCCACAACACCGTGCGTGTGGAGATCTTTAAAAACGGTCGTAAACTGACTCTCAGCGGTCCTGGTATGACCTTTGTCCCTCTCTGATTCCGCGAATCTTTTACGATCCGATAGGATAGCTTCTTGGTTACGATAATAATTGTGCTAGTTTCGGTGAACAGTAGGTCAGCACTCTAGCTTAAGAGGCTCTCGAATTGTATTTCTTACTCTAATAGCTTCGGCATCGGCCGTGAAATCCAAAACCTAGAGCCGAAAGCTAGTACCTGTAAAATAGTTACTTCAAGACATACTGAAAAAATGGTTATGGGCGTACCTCTCAAGATTGTTTGGAAGGGTTGTCTTCGTTTAAACTGGTTTGACACTTCGTAGGAGCTTAATCCACCTGGTCTCGATCCTTTCATTTCTGACTGTTCGCGCAGTCCTCAAACGCTAACAATCAAACGCACACTTAGTCAGTATAAATCAGGGCATTGATTTTCAAAAAGTCTTTCAGATTGCCTAACGGACACTAGTCAACGCTTCTATGGGCCTACACCAATGGATGCTAGCAGTAGCTACGCAGGTAGCCAATCTAGTGCCGTTCTGCCAGAAGACGTCAGTACAGGCGCTTTCGCTTCCGTGACCGACGCCGAAGTCAGCTGGTGATCACATGTCACCCCGTTCATCTGGTAATATTTGTTCAATCAGCGCACTCGACAGTGATATTCCCTACGCGGAATAGACTTTGGACTTTGCTCACAGCCTACCATACATTCCCCTTTCCCAGTCCCAATGAGCTCAGCATGCCGACCTCGCTATGTGGAAATCCTTAGAACGACAATTATTAACCATAAGGTGGTTCAAACTCTGTCCAGCTCTTATGGTTTCATTATCCATGCATGAAAGCATAGGTTTTTTTTATCCTTACGTATATTAGCATGTGAAATGCCGGTTTTTTGTTGTTTTAAAAAGGAACTTGGCTTTTGACGGACGGAAAGTTAGGAAGCACGGCTGAACTCGTGGCCCAGGCAATGCGAGGCTACATGGAGGCCTACGGGATGAAGGACCTGCAAGTCATCGGACTCACACCCTGGGCCCTACTGGCCAACGCTGAATGTCTTCGTTCAGATGACTTCCTGGTACGTACATTTGTGTCTTTTACTCGGTTTTCCGCCAACACGCGTATGACATAGCCATAGCTGAAGCGTGATCGGCGCCGACAGATTTTTCAGACAAGACCGTTATGCAAGACTCTCTATCAAATTGAAGCGAAAGCCTTTATCTATTACTGAGCAGTATTCAAACTCTAACTGCCATAGTTACTCTGAACTGATGACAGGCCGCATATTCGATAAGCACCCACGGAAGAAAGCGAACAACTTTTCCACCAGCCGCACAACACGGTAATGTCCAGACTACCTGCAGTTAAGTGGAAAACTGCGCGATTATGCTCGCCACTGCTTTTATCCAAAGAAATGCCCATCGACTTCCCAGGCGGTCTTGGCTGTAACCATTACTAAGACGCCGATATAGCCTTTGTGGCTCATTAACCATCATCATCCAGTCCTAGAATATCCTAGGTAACGCATCAACCGAGGTTCGAACCCATGACCTGCTAGTTAGAAGTCGAACGCTGTTACGATTGAGCTACCATATTGTTGTCTGGCCGGTTTTGCTTGGAAGTATTGATATTAAAGTATTTGCCCTTACCGATTAATAATAGGACTTACTCGTCCTGTCCTTTATTAAAACACGCGAGTCCTCTTATCGATCGGCGGACGTTCATCTGTCAGTCTTTGGTGTGGCTAGACTAGGGGGGAGGTATAATTGCACTAATTGGTGAACGGCAGAAAATATGTGCCTGCTGACGTAACACTTACCCATAATTACTTTACTTTCTATACATCGGTTGGCTCGCTAATGAATTGGATTGATGTTGAAAAGCCGCGCTCCTTTTCCAGTTTTTGGATGTTTTATCTGTGACATCAACAAATTGGTTAGGGGTATATTAATCCGTAAATTGCGCTATAGATTTGAGTTAAAACGTTGTTCGATATTGTGTGCTATAGTGTGGTGTCTAAGAGTAAACAAGGTAGAGACACTGAAAATAGATACCTGTATTTAATAGATGAGTCAACCAAAAGGAATTGATGAAAAAACGAGGCCGCTTAAGGCAAGCAAGGGAAAAACAAGGTGGAGAATGAAGGGCGAATCTGCGGTCGCTGGAAGAAGGTAGTTATTGATTTGACATTTTGGATTCGGGTTCAAAACAATCATTAGAGACAATCGCAGATAAATGAGGCGACTGCTACGACCGAAAATTTTTCAAGACGATTAACTGTGTGTGGCGCAGTTATGGACGAGCAAAACAACCTCTGAGACACAGGGGTATTGCTTCAGACGCGAATGGCCGAGCAAGCATCAGCGGTGGCGAGAAAGTCAGACGTTAGCTCTCCGGTTGTAATTAACTCAACGGGACCCGGCCAAATCTTCGAGTTAAACGTAGCTGACATCCTTGGAAGGGCTGACAACTGCGTGAACCATGTGTTATTCAAGTTATGTTTCCTTAGCCTTCAGTCCACCACAAAGTGCAATGACCTGCCATTCCCATATCCCCTACCGAGGAAAGAGCCATGTAAGGAGGATACGAATGACCAAAAACTGCGATGACAACGAGCCAAATGACCACGTAATTATCAAGTCAACATGTAATATGAATGATAAAATCGCGGTAATTAACGACTTAGACGTAGACTGCCAAGCTCTCAACGCAAAAATGATGACCCCTCCCAGAGCATTTAAATATCCCAGGATATTTAAAGATGTCTATGTGGTCTGTAAAAGTAATGGCTGACATTGCTGAGGGTATTTTGATTTGGATATGCTTTCTTCAGTGTTCGAGCATTCTTAAGAGAAGTAGGAATACGAATGGCGAGTTTGATGATGAATGCATTTCTTTTCATTTCTTCTGGGCAACCAGGGAAAGACGCGCTTTTCGTTGCCACAGAAGACCACCAGTTCGCAGAAGGGCATCCAACTAGCGGAAAACCACACACACTACATTTTGATTGATACGCCAGGCAAAGCAATGAGCGATATGATTAGGTTTCGGGCCAATTTTGAAGCCTGGATTTCACGACGCCCTAAACTAGGTACGTCTTTCGTGAAATCACCTCGTAATAATTGACACCTTTCTGTGTTTTACCAGTTCGTTCATATTAGTAATCACTATAATATATCCTGCCTCATAGTGACCGATGAAGACCAGAAGGATAGTAATAAATTCGCGCGCAGCTCTACTTTGGACTCTGCGACTACCTACAGTATCACCTCTGAGTACCAACACATCACTGGTAAGTCCGTATGCTGTGGCTTAATGTGCAGTAAAGAACCTGTCTGACGTAAACATCCGAACTATTCGAAAGACTGATAATCACGCGCAAACAAGTAGACTCACCCAAACAAGAAAACTCAATGCCGAGAAAAATAAACGTCCACAAAAAACGTCCGATATAACTGTGTTTATGATCAAATTAAAAACGTTCTATAATAAGTTACCCAGCTAGAAAGCGCTTTTATTAGATCTTAGATTAGCGAATGTCTGCGTAAGGTACCCTTTGCCAAGGTCAAGTCAGTATAAAAATGGGGAAGTTTGACCAGTTTTTTTATTTTCCTGAAAATAAGTAATAGATACAACTACACCAAAGAGTGACCATATGCAAACTTAAATTTTGCAGAGGCTGTAAATCTTCTGTCCGTTACATTTATAAATTACATATTAACGGAAACTATATTTTTAAAATAGTAATGTTGTTTCTTGTTTCAAATGTAACAAGGTTATCATCGGTGTCCACTATACACGGTAAAAAGTGTATTTCTGTGTACTGTTTTTGTATACAAGATTACATACGGTGGTCGCCACAGACCATGTATTTTCCTAAATTTGTTACAGTTTGATGGTTACTCCAATACCAGTGTGAATGTATTTAAGAAAACATAGAAATAATCATGAACAGCATTAGGCATATTAATTACTTAAAAAAACTATAGAAATCACTAAGTGTTCGTAAAGGAAAGTAATTTTTTCTCGATAATTCCGTGGTTCTAGAGGCGTAAAAAAGAGCTCTAAATTAG